TGTGTGTGTGTGTGTGTGTGTGTGTGTGTGTGTGTGTGTGTGTGTGTGTGTGTGTGTGTGTGTGTGTGTGTGTGCGCGCGCGCAGGAGCACAAGCTAATGCGAAACCAAAGCATCGTGGGATCAAAGTTACCAGAGCTGAGCGAAGCTGCTGAACAGGAAAAAGGTGACGCTCCTTGTTTGCCCTCTTGCCCTGTGTGAGACAGAAAGTACTTTCAGAAGCACATTCGGCACACTGAGGGTGTGCACTTCCTGAAATCTGATTCGCTTCAGAAAATGACGACTTTTTCTTTTCTTTCTTTTCTGTTTTTTTTTACCTCTATTCCACCCCTGACAGTACTGCAGCAGAAAGGAAACTTGTGCTCTCGTTTTTTATCAGCAGATGGCATTATTGTTAAAGCTTGTGAACCACAGAGCACCTGATGAAAAGAGGAAATTATCCTTATGTTCTGAGACTTTAAAAAGTCCAATCACTAAGATTTTGCTTGGAATTTACTCCGGTGAGAACTGGTTTGACCACCCAAAGATCGATGTATTTATATGGGACTAGTAGTAGTAACAACACTCTCCTCCTATCTCCTATTTGGTTTATGTCAGCTTGCACAGAAGATATCAAATTACCTTAAACTTAAATTATTCTCCAGAAATAATTTTGAGCTCTAATTTGTGTAGCATTGTGTCTGCAGATTCGCCGTCATCACTGAACACACCTACCAGTGACACAAATGAAAGATCCGACGCCATGCCCAACATTTCAGACTTGATGCTGAGAAAACTCAAACTTCATCGGGGTCTGCCTGGCTGGTGTGTAACAACCTGCTGCTGTAGTTAACATTTAATTTATAACCATCTATCTCACTGTTATGAGTAATGCTTCCATTCTCTCATTTCATTCCAGTGCTCCTCCACTCAGCGAAAAAGAAGTTGAGGTTGGTACCTGATCTCTGAATTTATATTCTCACCAAGAACTAGATAAGAGGATGGATAATGGGGTTTAGTCTGTAAATTAAAAGGGAGCAATACTGACACACTGGCCCTTATTCTGTTTATGCATGTGTACACTACATTAGGTACACCTAATTCAAACGTTATTAATGAAAATATCCAATCATGCACTCAATGCATTGATCAGGGACGTAGACACGATCAAGACGACTCACTGAAGTTCAAACTGCATCAGAATAAGGAGGAAATGTGATTTAAGAGACTTTGAATGTAACATGGTTGTCAGTGCCAGATGGGCTGGTCTGAGTAAGAAACTGCTGATCTGCTGGGTTTTTCCAAACAATCGTCTGTTCAGAGAAAATTTCCAGTGAGTGGCAGTTCTCTGGGTGAAAATGCTTTGTTGATATCAGAGGTCAGAGGAGAATGGCCAGACTGCTTTTGGGCTGATAGGAAGGCAAGAGTAACTCAAAAAAACACCCATTACAAATATCTCTGAATGCACAATGCATCAAACCTTGAAACAGATGGACTACAGTAGCAGAATACCACACTGGGTGCCGCTCCTATCACTAAGAACAGGAAACTGAGCACCTTTGGGACTGATTTGAGACTGAAAATAGACAATAAATACTTCCATACTGATGTATCTGTGAAAATCTAATTTTACCTAATAATGCCAGTCGATATGATGTAATATAAAGTAATATTTATTGCAAATTTGGGAAATAATGTTGTTACAGCAGTTAGTTTGATAACTAATCTTAGTAAAAGACTGGAAACAGCTAAATGATGGTAACAAAATCCACCTAACAGCACTTCTGAAGCTCATTCACATATTTTCTGTGCACAAAGTCAGTTTACACAAATAAATGAGCAAATATGTTTCTATAGAAGCTAAAGACACTTTATCTTATGTAACGTTTGGAAGCCTGAAGGGAGTGGAGACTCGACCAATTTAAAAATGTAATTTACTTCTTTAAACAAAGAAAAGAAAAACGAAACATAAGTTTAAGCAGATTCCAAATGTTCCTTTTCAAATAAGACATATTTGCTTTAACGTTCTGACTTGCGCCTTTTAAATTATCCACAGTGATTAGCTGCACATGAGTTAGAATATAGCAAATCATAAAAGTGACTGCCAGCAGTAAAGTGTTTGCTTTGAACAGTGACTTGTGTTCAAACACTGGAAGCAGATGGATTGTTCCACTCAGGTTTGAGCTTTTTCAAGTACATGTGCAAGTGTTTGTAATAACCTGTTGTGTTCCCAAAGCAGATGCTTAGAATCATAAAAACTTTATAATTCCCTGCAGGGATATTCTTGGGTAAAAGTTGCTCATGGAAGTTGTAAAATTATACAAGAGATGCAAAAACAATTACATGGTCGTCAGAGGTTGCCTGCCTGGCTTCGGTGGTGTTCTGTCAACAGGAAAGTGTTTTTCTGTTCCTGATCAGTCCAAAGAGACTCTGTGTGATTTCCTGTGGAGAAAATCCAGGCATCTGTGACGCTGTAAGCCCCGGACTATAGCCTCTCGCGCTGCTCCCTCTGGGATGTGTCTGGATCAGGACAGTCAGAGGTCATAGATTTCCTCTCAGGCGTGTATGTTGGAAAAACCTCTGCAGATTAGCTTTGATCAACATAACAAAACATCAAGAGGTCGAATGCCACACTCACAGTTTGTTCCCCATGCTCATCTCAGGGACGCTTGATTCTCACACATCAGTAACCGTGTGCACCGACTCCCGTCTATGACTATTTACAATGAGTTCATGTGTTGCGATCACAGGCAGCTCACCTTCATTTTAATATGTTTCTTAATCTGAGTGTTGAACTGCATTAGCTTTCTTTCTACAGAATGCATTCGTCCAGCTGTCACTGGCGTTTCGTAATGACAACTACACTCTGGAGACGCGACTCAAGCAGTCAGAGAGGGAGAGGAACCTGACTGAGGAGGACACGGAAAAAGAATTAGACGACTTCAAAGGAGCGCTAAAGGTTGGTCCTCGAAAGCAGAGGCTGATGTAAGATAGATGATAACTTACAACAAAAGGAGATTTCCCCCTGGCTCTTTAGTGCTCATTTATTTATTGAATGTTTCCTGGACGTGTCCCACAGTAAATATTTTTCTTGCCTGAGTTAATTCAGGTGCAATAAAGGACGCACACTTTCTCTTCCTGAGATTTGCAACAACATGTTGTGTTTCTTGCAGATGACTGCGCCAATGTGGCAGAACCTGGAGCAGCGCGAAGCCTATCAGCGCCTAAAAGAGACGGTAGCAGTGCTGCACAGGCTTGCCACACGGCTCTCCAGCAGAGCAGAGATAGTGGGCGCAGTTCGCCAGGTGCAGTTACACACAGACGAATGAGAATTTTATACAATTTAGTGAAACATGCTGCGAAAATACACGAAACAGCTTATTGTTTAAACAACTGGTACTCCAGGAATGCCTGTTTGGCAGCGTTTTTTAAATTATGCTGAAGGATTTTTATCTGATGTCATGGCTGACCTCAGGCCAGCCAATGAAAACATCAGGAAAAGAGCTTCAGCTATTTAAAACCCCAAATCAATCAGATGAATCATTGCTTTTGTGTACAGCTACCAATCTATTAATAGCAATCTATTAATTCCTCGTTTTCATTCATGATGAGTGTGGATATTTTTAGAGAAATGCTTGTTTGTGTTTTCCCATAATATCAAATAAATAATCTGTGTGTTTTCAGTTTATTTATAGTGTCATTAATTCACCTTTAAAAACATTTAACTTCACTTAAAATATCAGCAACATGATGGGAGAAGTCAAAGATATGTTGGACAAATCCATAAATACACAGGTTATTGTGTATTTGGTTTGTACATCTGTTGAATGATTTCCTCTCTATGTACAGTTTTTTAGTGGAAGCTCTTGTTTTTGTGCTCATGCTGTAACTTAAGCCTGCTTAGACTGGTTTTATTGTCTAACAGGAGAAGCGTATGAACAAGGCCACAGAGGTTATGATGCAGTATGTGGAAAATCTTAAGAGGACGTATGAGAAGGACCATGCAGAGCTCATGGAGTTTAAGAAGCTGGCCAACCAGAACTCGCATCGTTACGGAGTGTCTGTAGACCCTGGAGGTAAGATTACACTTGTGTTCCCTTTTCAGCACCGCTGCTGGCTTCATCTTCACTCGTATATTCCGCTAGGAAATTCTCACAGCGCCTGGAGTGTGCTAATGCTGCATTACTGAGCAGCTTTACTGTAGATGTGGGAGAAACATCAGCATTTACATGGTTACTGTGCTTTATTAATGCTGGTTCTTTGTCTCTCTTTTTAAAGACGATGGACTTCCACGTCCATGTAGACCAATTCCCTTCACCCCTGGAAAGGTAAGCAATGAATTTTTTGTGTTTTTTTCTGCTTCACGTTGTTGCACAGGTTTTGGATGTGCAACTGCCAGTCAGACAAAACAAGCAATATAAAGATTCAACCACTTGGCTAATTGTCATGGTTATTTTTGACAGTAGCTGTTTAAAAATATAAAAGTAAATCTGTACAGGTTGGTAGTTATCAACAGTGTCCACAGATCCAAAATTCTATTTAAGCAAGTTTCACAACTTGGGGGCCACAAATTCAAAAGCACAGTCACCTTTTGCCTTTTGTCATTAACTTCTTCTGACGCATCACCAACAGGATCAGCTGAGCTCAGAGAGCTAGTAGTTAGATATGGTTCCATACAGAAGTTCACTATTATACGGAGGCATCTGACCATGAAGAGCTCTAAAAGTGATCTGAAGAATCTTAAATTGAACCCTAAACAACAATAAATAAAATAAAATAAAGAGACTAGACGAGGATAATGGTCTTAACCTCCTCGCCCCTATAAATTATGTCCCCATCGGCGCCTCTAGGGACCATGATTCCTATTCACTGACCAGTCGAAAGGGTCAGAGATAAATCCGTACACCAAAGTGGGTGGCAAGTATGACCATACTGTCATGCTGCGAGCACACCTAAAAATGTCTCACCCTCCCCCGTTTTTACAGTTTTTTCTGTTTCGTTTTTCTTTACAAAAAAGAAAAGTTATAGTGACTCTGTTTTTGTAAAACACAGTGCTGCATGTTTTGTCTTCTTTTCACCCGACCAGGTGCCTCGACGCAGGGTGAGCGTAGCGGTGGTGCCAAAGTTTAATCTTCTTAACATCCCGGGTCAGACCCCGGCCACAGCTGGCCAAGGCTCCAACGCAGGACCCACAACTGGTGCTGCTCTTCCTGTCCTGGTAGGTCTTCCTGTCCTGATGAGAAATGATGGGAAATGATGTATTAAGCATTTAGTACAATGACACCCACGCTCACAGATAAACTGCTGAGTTAAAGTTTCTCAGCAGGTGGGCAACATATTCATCTCTTGTAAAATAAAATACTTCCACTCAAGTATTTCTGTAAATGTAGCTGGCATTTTTACAGACACAACCCGTTTTTAAAAGGAAAAAGTACTTTTTTAAAACTTTTTTATGTGTCGTATGTGACAGATTGCTTGATACAAACAAATGTTTTTCTCTTTGATTCTCAGCGCGGTCCTCAGTAGCACATTGAAATAAAACTGTGGAGTTTCTGAATGAGTTCCTGCTAAAATAGTTCATCTTTATAAGAAACATATTAGCACCAAATATCTGGCATATAGAAGATTACTCCTATAGAAATGTACTTTACTTTAGCAGGGTCACTCGAGGTGTTTGACCATCGACATGAGTCGAAACTGGTACAATAAAGTCCATAAAGTATCAGACTGTCTGTCTCATATTAAAGCAATGATTACTGATCAGAGGACCCTGCGTGCAAAGTGGAGTTTGCATCTTCCTTCCTGGGTTCTCTCCAGGTACTCTGCTTATCCAATACAAGGTTCCAGGTGCTGCTGAACACTATGCAAGGTATCACTGGGCATCTCAGGATAGCGAATTCAAAATTAGTTTCTGAACAAGTAGAGCTTGATCCTATAAATAACTCATCACTTCAATCTATGTCATCAATGAGTTCTCCGGGTTTACCAGAAGTGAACGTAGCTAGAAAAACCTTCATTTCCTTTGGGAAAGTCAAGGAAAGGCTAGATCTGTCCTGGCTTAGCAGTCAGTCCAATCTGGTTCCATAAACAAGTTGTGACATTCTTCTGGCACAGTGAAGGGAACCTGGCTGGACACTTGAATCCCCTCGAGGGACAATCACTAAAAACAATGTCAGCTCAAGAAATTCGAGGCAGTCCTCACAACACAGTTTTAGTCAGATTTGTTTTGCTGTACTTGGTTAAAACTGTTGTATCACTCTGTCATTTTTCTTTTTTCTTTTTGAGATAATTCACATCTGTTGAGTGTGTACAAAATTCAAAATACACAGACCATAGCACAAAAACAAGGGTTATGTAACTGTGCCAAAAACCTTCTGAAATGTGAAATTAGTATTTCTCCAAGAGGAACTGAAAAATCAAAAATAGATAATAAAGTTTATAAAGGCCCGACATGTTAAAGCATATGCTCATCCAGAGAAGTAAAGCCAATTGTAGCAAATACTGTTTTGTTATTAAGATTTAGATTAGGGTTACGATTTTTTTAACACTTTTCTCCTCAGTGTGAAGCAAATGACGTGAAAGGCACCACCTCCACAGAGGCTGCACAACCAGGAACAGAATGGTATGTTTCTTGTATTAATATTGTTACACGTGCACACACACATACATGGCTACATGTAAGTCACGTGCCACTGCTTAATTTTCAAGGTCATTCCTCAGTCCTCTCACCCCTGAACTTCTAATCATTTTTATCAAAAGCGCTCAGATGGGACTTCAGCTTGTTTTTGTGACCTTCAGGATGTTTTTAAAGTGCAGAAACAATTCCAGTGAGGTAAAAATAAACCTGAAAGCATTAAAAAAAAAGCTAGAGTTGAGGGATATGCTATTACGGGACTGCTATCCAGTAATCTAAACATTTATGAAAGAGTTTGATGAAGTCCAGGCACAAGGCTCCAATCATATTGTAGTTATAAAGTCAGCCTGAGTAGAGCTCTCTCAGTGTCTGGGCTAGATGTTCTTTAAGGACAATCGCAATAACAAATGTGCAAAGTGCAATCACAGTTTTTCGTTTGTACTCATCGTTCTCGTGATGGTGGGATGCACATCCCACTCGGCCTGCGCTGCGTCTCATCCGTTATACGACCGGGCCGCAGTATTGTGATGGAACCTGACTGTAACAGTGTTTTGTTACGTCTGCTGTGATCGTCACGGTGTCCAAGGCTAATTGTTCTTTCCTATCTGAAACAATGCAGTGGAAAGAGTGTGTCGGAGCAGGAAAATGAGCCAGCCAAGCCTTCAGTAAACCTGGAGGAGCTCCGAGCCGAGATCAAGGCAAATATCGAAGAGGAGGCCTATCAAAAAGGGTGAGGCCCTCTCTTCTGCTTTTTAGTGTAGATAAGCGGACAGTGTGATGACACAGTTGTTTATCAGAAATCATTTCAGTTGTGTGTCCCAATTTCACTTGTAAATATGAATATTTCAAACGCAGCTACCAAGATGGACTGAAGCAAGGCAAGGCGCTTCAGGAAGAAAAACGTGAAGACGAAAGTGCTGCGGACAAATTGCTGGAAACAAAAAATAAGGACGAAGAGAGCGGAGAGAGGCTTAAGAACAGCAGGTGAACTCACTCTGTCATGTTAGAAAAGGAAATATAAATTGTGTATTTATGCTCATCTCTGATAGTATTGATATAAGCACAACAAATTATTTGTGCTCTTTTTGTAAATAATTCATGATCAGTGGAAGATGAATCTCTTTATTACACACAAAATGTTACATTTTATTGAAAATACATTAAAAAAATTATAACAACACCACAAACCCATTTTTAAAATCACAAAGAGTGAGTTTATATCTACAGTACTCTGCAAAAGTCTTTAGCCACACCTCATTTCTCTCATGAGTTGCTGTGGGGATGGCAGACCTTATTACAGACCCACATGCAAGACGCTGAGACAGAATAACATAAGGTGAGCTTTTAATGCTGACAGCTACCAAGGTTTAAAAAGTCTGGAAAGTATCCAAGATGACGTATTAAGATGAGGAAAGCAAACATTCAGGGAACAATAGAAAGCACAAGGAAAGACCTGCACTAGGTAAGACACCTGCTAAGGACAACTCAACGAAAGTTAAGGGGAAATGGAGACAATAACTACAAGAAGTAATGAGGGAAGTGGAAACAGCTGGGAAATACAGCTGGAACTAATTAGAAATAACGCACCAAGGGAAGTAGAATTACACACAAAGCACAAGAGATGAAAGACCACCAAGATAAAACAGGAAAACACCTAACATAGAGACAGAGACTTAACAGTAAGATGCAGGATAACTGAAACAATGAACTGAGTACAAACAATGTCCATGAACAGAACCTAGATTACTAAACTAAAACTAAAAAGGCATAAAAATAAGGAAACCAACCCAGAAAGTGCTGAAAGTATAACACATAAAAAAACAGAAAAGATTAATAAGTCCAAGCACAAAACACTCAGTGATTTGTGCAGTGATTTATGGAAGCATTTGCAAACATATGTGAAAATAGAGCATAAAAGCAAACATGAACGGTACATGGATCAACTCAGGTCGTGTGTCAGGTCTTTGTTAATTTGCTATGTGTTGGCTTTTTTATGCTTGAATGATTCATTTGTCAAAACAAGAAAAAGAAAGAAAATAGTCAGGTACAAGGACTGGACTGAAAATGAGTGAAAACGCAGCCAATGTCTGGCAACTTTTGCTCAAGACCACTTTAAAAAATTACAGGAAAAAGCTCAAGACCTTTGCACAGTTTGCAAAGGTTGCACAGCTGCATATAACTTTTACATGCGTATCGCTAAATTAATCTTGTGGGATTAAAAGTGAGAGTAAAATTAGCCTCCACAGCCATTATTTCAACAAATATATACGGTCTTTTTCCCTGTCTTTTTATAGTTTAGATAATGTCTGTAATTTAAAGAAACTTCTGTAGTTCCTCCATAATGAGCACTTTCCCCTGCCCAATATTTTGTCACCTGCTATATGAACTTATTATCTTTGCAGGAGGATGGAGGAAGTCCTGGCTGTTGTAGGCGAGTTCTGCCCCAAGGTATCCACGAGTCGGCGGCTTCTATGGCTCACTTTGACGCTGTTTGTGGCTGTGTGTGTGGTGTTCAGTATTTATTCATTCTTCAGTGACTATTACAACCGACACGAGGACACATAAGGGAAGAGGAACTTTGTGTGAGACACTGATTGAGATCTTTGGACTGGGTGTAAGAGTGCAACGAAAGAACCCGCTAAACAGAATAACAGAGACCTCATACATCACGTCTCTGCCAGTTTACCATATCATCAGACACACTTGAATCAAATGACCCCGATACTCAAGGGTCAGAGACATTTTGGGAGGCTTTATGGCTCGTGAGGCCTTCTTCATGGTCAGCAGAGATAAGTTATAATCTTGCTTGAAATGAAAAGTTGAAAGGATGTTTGCTGCAGCAAAAGATAAGATGATTCTGTTTAGGGACCAATTATATTGTGTGCTGAAATAGATATTTAATTAAATTAGATCTTGTAATTATACATTCTGGTTCTGGTACTTTGAATGCTGAATATGGCACTTTTTCATTAAATGCCACAGTAGAAACATTGTATATTTATCTACACAATAGAATCTCTCAGGTTTGATAGATAATGAAGTCCCTGAGAGACTTTTAATACATATTTAAAGAAAAATGTTTTTATCTGTTGTTTTTTCTATTAAAAAAATGTTTCAAATGTAAGCACATTCCACAGCAGTTCTTCAAGTGCAATACTCAGCTCATGGTTCTCATTTGTGCCATGTTTGATTGTTACTTCAGAGCACTGAGAGATTTTTTTTCTTGTAAACGAGCACTGTTTAGACTTCATGATTCCTTTTCTGTCTTTGCACATGTGTGCCGCCTGTGCTGTCCGTTCTCTGTTCATTTTATGGTCTGTCACCTCTCCTTTAAATAAAAAGTGCCTGAAATATTTCCTCTAGTCATTTCAGTAGCGACAAATATTCGTTGCTATGAAAACTAAGTACTGCCAATGATTCAGTAGCTTGTAAAACCACCTTTAGCAGCAATAACTTGAAGTGTCAGAATTTTGGCCCATTCTTCTTTGTTGATCCATTTCATCGAGTTTGGGGGGCATTTATTCCTGCACAGATGTTTTAAAGTCGCACCACAGCATTTCCATTGAGTTGAGGTCTGCTGTATTTGATTCTCACCAAACACCAAACATGGAGCTGTGCATTAAGACCAAATATCTCCACTCTGTTCCAGAATAATCTGATATCCCCATATTGGTGTTGTTCCTGGATCATCATATTCAATGCTGGTCCAGGGTCAATATTGCAAGTATCCAATCACATTGTTATGATATAGTTTTGGAATGCAGGGGGAAAAAACCTGCCAATGTCCACAAAATTTTTATAAAAGGGGGCAGTTAGGGTCAGAGTTATGGTTGGGGGTTAGAATGTAATAGTCGATAAAGTTAAGGGGCTGTAGTTATGGTTACAGGGTCTGCGTTAGGTGTGTGGTGTGATGGTGTGTATCCACACTGCAAAACTAGACCATGCTTTGTTCAGATGCAACTGTGCAAACAGAGGCCACAGGATACTTTTGCTGGAAAAATGTCTAAATTCTCTCACCAAGACCTGTTGGGAAATTCTATTGTGTTCCCATTTGAAAGTCTCATAGTCTAATTTAGTTTAATTCTATAACAACTTTAAGGACATGCAAACCCCACTCTTAGAGAGGTGATATGTACGATGAGCATTCTTGCTCTAATCCAGAGTGTCACCTCACATCTGTCAAAAACCCTGCTGCATCTTCGTCAGCAGGCTCTGCGTCATTTCCTGCCATCGGGGCTTGCGGAGAAATGTTTTTGTGGAAATGGGAGGCCGCGTGCCAAAGGCTCATCTGAGGAGACCAAAGATAATAAGCGCACACATGACGGAGAATTTCCCAGAGAGAGGAAATCATCAGGACAGAAGAGAATCTCTTCTCGAGTGTATTACATCATGGTTTTCAGAAACTTTCACAACTCTACTGCAAATCCCACCTTTTGTGCTTTCACTTTATCCTTTTAATATATTGTTTGTACAGAATCATGGAATAGAATAGAATTACTATATACAGACTCTTTATTTTCATCACACAAAAAGTACAACAAAACTGTACGCAATTCTATTCAGTGCAAAGACAGTAAGCTAACTATTTTAATAAACTTTCTTTTTCGATGTAATAAGATTCAAAAGAGAATTCTAATAAGTAAATGTGAGTGTTTATATATATAT